CCCTATTCCCCCAGAGCTTTGGAGCTGCCCATCTTTCCTTCCTTTTCATCCAGGTTTGCGCAATTTAATTTTTCCGTTAGAACTCAGAAAACAGTATTGTAGTATAGTACAATGGATATAGTTCAATTAAAAGGATGTAACTTTGACTTCGAAGTGAATTCACTGATAGTTCTGTGGTTTGTAACTTTCTCATTCTGATTGATACTCCATATGTGCAGCAAAAATGCTCTGCTATACTCGCATGATCTACTTGTCTATGTCATATTTGTTTGGGAAAAGATTTGTTGGCCCCATCACACCCCTAATTCTGCAACTGAGAGAAGAAATCTACAATGAACCTTACAATGAAATTAAATGGAGCAAAGTGCGCCATCTGTGTGCAAAAGTGAGTTTACATGGTTAGCATGCACCAAATATTTTTGATTCGTGCCACACCACCACATTTTGATGTTATTGAAAAATTTCTGTGCATGCATAAGATGAATGTTCAATTTTATTTTATTTTTAATGCAGGAGGATAACTACCATCCCCATGGTAAGTTACAATCCTTGATGTGGGATAGTCTTCACACAATCTGTGAGCCTCTTTTCACTCGCTGGCCCTTCAAAAAGCTCAGAGAGAAGGCTCTTCAAGAAACCAGTAAACACATTCATTATGAAGACGAGAATACTCGATACATTACTATTGGAGTTGTGATAAAGGTAATCAGATCATAATGGAAGAAAAACTAATTAGATGAGAATAGTATTCACATTGCTGCTATTTAAAATGCAACGTTATTTGAATTTGGCAGCCATTAAATATGCTTGCTTGCTGGGCTGAAGATCCGAATGGAGAACCTTACAAGAAGCATCTTGCAAGGATTGCAGATTTCATATGGGTTGCAGAAGATGGAATGAAAATGCAGGTTAGCTGTTTGCATATTTCAGGTTTTAATTTCAGCTTCTTGGTTGGAAGTGCTATTTGGGCAACAAAGTTCTGTTTTTGATTCATTGTACTCATATGCAGAGTTTTGGTAGCCAGATGTGGGATGCTAGTTTCGCCATTCAAGCTTTGCTTGCTGCAAATCTGAATGATGAACTTGGATCTGTACTTAAGAAAGGACATAACTTCCTTAAGAAATCTCAGGTTTCTGTACTTACAAGTTCTATAAAAGCCCTTTTTCTTCTTCCTTTCACTTTGACCATCAAGCATTTTTGTTTCTCCCATTGCATTTTAAGTTGGCTAAAATATGCATCGGATTGTAATATTCTAGGTTAGGGATAATCCTTCTGGTGACTTTTTATCCCATTTTCGCCACATTTCTAAAGGAGCATGGACTTTCTCTGATCAAGACCATGGATGGCAAGTTTCTGATTGTACTGCAGAAGGTTTGAAGGTGATTATTTTTGTCAAGCTGAGGGTTGAGCTAGAGCCATTACAATTGTATATGTTTCTCAAGCACATGTTATGTCGCACAGTGTTGCTTGTTGTTATCGATGCTGCCACCACAACTCGTCGGTGAACAACTAGAACCTGAGCGTTTATATGATGCTGTCAATGTCATACTTTCTCTGCAGGTGAGGATTAGATTGAATAAAAACTAGTATATCTCTAATGGGGAAATTTATAACTACTAAAGATAGTTATTTTTATTTTCTATTTACTGTCCCTTTATTTTGTCATAATGGTATTAATGAGCTCCATTCTATGATTTGAACCAGAGTCCAAATGGTGGTGTATCAGCCTGGGAACCGGCAGGAGCTCCAAAATGGTTGGAGGTAAGTAAGAAAAATCCCTTTAAGTGATCAAAGAATTTTAATATCTCCACTGTTTCAATGTGTATCATGACATGCATATATTCATTTTCTCCTTCAGTGGCTCAACCCTGTAGAATTTCTTGGGGATCTCGTCATCGAATATGAGTAACACTTGTGATCCAACATTTTCCATTCTGTAATTCCTTAAGTTCTAGACTACATTCCTTGAAGACTAACATAAGAGTCATGCAGGCATGTCGAGTGCACCTCATCTTCAATCCAGGCATTAGCTTTGTTTAGGAAGTTATACCCTGCCCACAGAAAGAAACAGATAGATAATTTCATCACAACTGCTGCAGGGTTCATTGAAGACATACAAAATCCTGATGGGTCATGGTATGCATACTTATATTCTTACTTGTGTTCGAGAAATAAACTAAAGAGGCAATAATTATCACAGGTATGGAAACTGGGGAATCTGCTTCATTTATGGAACACGGTTTGCAATCAGAGGGTTAGAGGCTGCTGGCAAGACTTACAATAATTGTGAGGCTATACGCCGAGGTGTTGAATTTTTACTCAAAACACAGAGAGATGATGGTGGATGGGGAGAGAGCTACATTTCTTGTACAAACAAGGTTCACTTTCTCTTTCTTTTTCTTTTCTTTCCCCCTTTACATGAAATATGTTGAGGCTTTGTTGGTCTATTCCCAAAATACTCATAGCACACTAGCACATGCACGCTCAATTTATACCATGCGCCTAGTTGTTCTGAGATTCATTAGTAAATATATTCTCTCTTCAGAGTAAACTAAAATTAATCTCTTCAATTGGTTACACAGATCTATACACCTCTTGAAGGAGACCGATCCAATTTGGTGCAGACTGCAATGGGATTAATGGGTTTAATTCATGGTGGACAGGTTAGTACATGAATATTTACACCTAGCTATGTGCCAGCCACTTCCTCAGTTCTCTTACTTCTGCATATTCCTCTCCCAATTTCTAAGTTTTCATGTTTATATTTTTTATTTAAACAATAGGCGGAGAGAGACCCTACTCCTATTCACCAAGCTGCAAAGATGTTGATCAATTCTCAATTGGAAAATGGCGATTTCCCCCAGCAGGTACCATTCTTGAACACCATTTGTTCTGCAGCATGAGAAAATCTCAAGTCTTACCGGGTTGTATACAACCATGCATCTATTTCTCTTATCATATACATCCGGTGATGAGGAAGTATTTTCTCCTGCGCCAAGGAAAAAGTAAAAAGGATATTGTTTAATTACTACTAGCTACAGGTTGCTCATCTTTTGTTTATTTTCGTTTTCTCGTGACAGGAAGTGATGGGAGTTTTCATGAGAAATGGCATGTTACACTACGCAGCATACAGGAATACTATCCCAATTTGGGCTCTTGCAGAATACTGCAATATGTTTCCAATGCCTCTCTATGTGTAGTCGTGTAGATTAATCTATGTGTATGTACATATATACAAAGAGTGTTGTCTGCTTAACGCCATTAAGTAAAGGAAGAAAACAGTTTAAAAGTTAATGAGTTATTTATGCAGCCTATTAAAATACAAGGGGGTGAATATTCTCTTTATACTTTATATTTGGTTTTGGATATCAGCTTTACTTTTAAGCATATATTTTAAAAATATTTTTTCAGAGTTGATGATAAATTTTATTAATAATAAATATATACATAAGGCTTTTCCCTGCCCATTCTAACCCTTCTGCTCTCTCCTGCTTTTCTTCTTCACTAGTCTTGATATTTGCTCTCTATTTGTAATTGATTAATTGTGAATTACAGTGATTTGATGTGGCACAATGATTTCTTCCATGGTATTAGTATTAGAGCTGTAACACAGAATCTGAGATCCTGTTTCGCGTGACTCTGAGCTAAGTTTTTCACCTTTTTGTTCACTTTTTGCTTCTTCAAGCTCATCATGGATTTCTCTCCTACGTAATGTGTTCTTCACATGTACATGTTACATTTACAGCATCATATGTTTTCATATCTTAAGTTGATTCCATTTATGGTCTTTTGATTGGTGCGAGATCCTTGCTCTGTGTTAAGAAGGTTGAATTAGTTGTCAATTGGTGAATTTGAGGCTCTGACTTGTAAGTTGCTATTGTGTGATCCAATTGGGAATTTTGGTGCCCTAATTTGGAACACCTGGGAAATTTGGTGACTTCATGTATCTTAGTTGGATGACACCAATTATGTGTCTTGGAGTACTAAGATTCAAAAATTGTTAAAAGGTTATCATCTAATAGGGTTTCGTGATGGAGCAACTACGTGTCCTACTGATGAACACAGTGATGAGTATCATCCAATAGGGTTTCTTGCTTGGCGTTCAAGTATAATGAACATTGGTTATTTACGGACAAATGAAGCAACAACCATGAAGAGTCATAAACTCTCTAGTGGCTGGGTTAAAGGTAAAAACAGGGATCTTACCAAGGAGTGGGAGATAAGGTGATATCAGAACAAGCCATTGAAACTCTTGAAGGTTTGCCCTCAACATCTTCAACTGTAGACTGCAACCTGCAAATGCTGCTCTTCAGTTCTAGTCTTTGCTTACTTTCTCGCTCTTCACGGGTAAAAGATGAGACGAGTCCAGAAACGCTTCAAGAGTCTTAAAAGTCGAAATTCTGTGAGGCAGAGTACGAAGTCATCTAATAAAGATTCAATTGGTGAAATCTGGAATTTGGTTATATATTTTAAAACATTGCCCTCATCTGTTATTTCATTTCTTGGT